TTTTATTGGCACCTCGAGTTCCAAAGAAATTAAACCTAAAGAAAACTGAGTGTCACCTCTCGAGTGCAAAGGGTTAAATGTGACGCTAATTCAAGCACAATAAAGATTAAAAATTCATCTCTAATAAAGATTTTCCTAGATCATCCGATATAACGATCTGCGAATATATCTAGATAATGGTAACACGTCTATACGCCTAACCAACGGTCATTCTCCGAAGCAGAACGAGGTACGTGTGTGTACGATTCCGTATATCCTCCAACCTGTTCTACGGTTGTAGTCACAATAGCGAAAGGAATGAAAACGATTATACTTTAGCATGCCCGAGTGTTACGGCGAGAACAACCAGTGACATTAACAGTGTCTGGTCGGAACATTAACTACGGTCGATAGCGATCTAGACGACATCCTTGTGCCGCTACTTAGGATTGCCCATACCGTGGAAAACGACTAATTGCGAGCCAACGCGTTTCACATTTTTATTAGCTTTTTCGAATCGCGGTTTTAACTAGCCGTGACAGGATGATACTTGGACGTGTTATACACGACGGAAGGAAAAGATCGCGAGAATTGAATACGGAGGAGAGCATTCGCGCATTCTATGGGCGTGAATCGACGCCGGTTCGGCATGGATTTCACCAGCTGCTATTATCACCGACTCGGCTCTGTATTATCCCGATAATGCGACGGGATGCAACCTGTTGTTATCCATTGACGTCTGTCGGCAATAGGCAGAACCAGTTTGGAAAGCCGTTGCCAGAGTTCACGCCCACTGGCCAAGGCACGATAAAAACAATCCTCTCGGAAATCACACTTATCAGGTTCGCGACTAACAAGGGGACCTGATGTCACGGATCTTGATGAAATTTTCTTCGACGGATCTCGAGGTTAAACTTTCTGCCGTGCTCTGTATAGATTCGGCATATAAGAAATTGAATTAAAAAGAAAAACTATTGGAAAAACTATTCGAGAGACTAACAAAGAAGACGTTCATGGGTAAGCGAGGAAGCAGGTTTCGGAAAGTCGTGAAATCGAATCTCACCGGAAGTATACAAATTAAAAGAGCATTTCATGGAATCCAAAGGACTAACGAGTTAATGCTATCCATAAATCTCGAGTGCGGAAGTTTTCTTCGACGGATCACGAGGTTAAACTTTCTGCCCCGCTCTGTATAGATTCGGCATATAAGAAATTGAATTCCAAAAAGAAACTATTCAAGAGACTAACAAGAAGACGTTCATGGATAAGTGAGGAAGCAGGTATCGGAAAGTCGTGAAATCGAATCTCACCGGAAGTATAAAAATTAAAAGAGCATTTCATGGAATCCAAAAGACTAACGAGTTAATGTTATCCATAAATCTCGAGTGCGGAAGTTTTCTTATCTTTAGAGGAGTGTCTTCCAAAAAGTTTGTAAATGAAAGCAAATGAAAGAAATGCGACTATCGGGTGTTATGGTCCGTTTCATACACGACACTGCTGTGATATAGTTAACTAGGAAGTCGTTGTAGGATATTTATTTCCAGCTTTTCTCGTAATGGGAAAGCGGTACGTTTTTTGTACTCGTCGCGAAAGTATTCGGCGTGCAGCGTGGTACTAGAGGGGACACCGCGATTTCTCTAACAAAAAGTGAAAACGAGAGACGAGATCGAGCGGCTGAACGCCGAGGGAATGACCTAATGATGTAAAGTTTGTAAAGCAGTCTGACGAAACTTACGTCGGGACGTTGGAATGGTCATCGAACTGATAATTGGCAAAGTTTCGCGTGTTCTCGGTGAGAAATAACCAGCGAAACTCGTCCCGAGAATCTGGTTGGCGATCGAGGGAACGTTCGGCATCGAATATCGGTGGTCTTATCACCGACGGAGGTGTCACTTTGTGTCAACGTCTTCGTCATCCGGTTGAAAACCGGTTTCGCTCGCGAAGGTTCATTGATTCCCCGTTAATCCGAGAGCTCTTCCTGCCCCCATTCAAGCGCGTTTAACTCCGCGTTGATAAGTTCGATAGATGAAGACGAGGACATTACGTTTAGAGTTAATTAGACCCGGGAGTTTGGATCGTTTCGCGCGTTCGGAAAGGATGAATACTTGGCGTTGGACGCTTACCACGCCCAAACCTGTTGGCGGCGACCTGAAAACCAGCAAACTCGATATCTTTTACGCCGCGGCGAGAACAAAAACCGGACTACGGACAACCAATCGAAAATAGCCTAACTAAGGATTGTTCGGCGAATAATATTTCAGAAAATATATACCGTCGAGCTTACAATAAATCGATGCGACGAACACGCCCGATTTATTTATATATTGGGTTGTCCGAAAAGTTTCTTTCGTGAGTTGCATTCAATTATTTCCTGTGCCAATGTTTATATAAATAGACGATCTAATTTCTTAGACATTGATGCTGTAACAGCAATGAAGCGAAACGAATCGTACACGATTCAGTAACGTAACATAAAGCACACAATATTGTGTATATATTAATTATTAATAAAACGAAAGAAACTTTCGGGACAGCCTAATAATTGTTCACTTTTATTCATCCGTACCACAGTCAGTGTAAAAAGTATTCGTACGGTAACGCATTTAAAATAAATGGTTCCTGTACGAATACTTATTACACTGACTGTATATCGAGTTGGCTAAATAAGTTCGTGGCGATTTATTTTTTATCCTAGAGCGATTCGTTCGCTGCTTAGCAAAGTGTTTATACGGATTCGAAAGAGTAAAGGGTTCGTCAAATAAATTTACCTTTAAATATAGTAAAAATTAAATTCGTATTAAATTCGTCAAAAGTAAGTATCAATATTTAAGTATCATCTCATTGAAATTATCCGATTGGTTACGTGAGTTATTCTTTTTTTAGAGGACACGCTACCAAAAAAAAAAAAAAAAAAAAAAAAACACCGTTACGCAATTTTCCGAGGGTGCACGCGAGTTTTCAGGGTCGCATAGCACAATTCGGCAAAGTGACCATGCGTCGCGACGCACCCATAAATGGCGCGAGCGATGGCCCATGGTCGCTAGCAAACCCCACCACATTGACGGTCGGCTCGACCGAGGCTTCTCCAAAAATAGGACGACGACAACGTCAACGACGACAGACCGACGGAATTCTCGGTACCGTAACGATACGCGCCGTGTCTTTTTCAACAATGGAACTCGACATGCGTGTCGCAAGAATCGATCAACCTCTCCAAACGCCGCGGTTAACAACGCGAAAAGGATCGATCGCATCTGGCGTCGAAGCGGTCCGCGATTTTTCGAGACAAACGTTACAGTGCGGGGCTATTTCAACGACTGATTGATCGCTTCGCATTTTCGTCTACGAATAACCGACACTGTTTACGTTGGAGCAGACACCCGGCCATGGATTTTTGTAAAAATCAACACGCGAGCAATCACACGTGGCGTATAGTTCCAAGGCTACGTAAGTTATAAAACAGAAACCAAATGTATTAGGTCGGTGGATCTGAAATCTCTGACGCGATACGTCGTTCGTAAATAATAGAATTAGAATAACTTTGGTCGAAAAATGTCAAGAACCGAGCCGGTGAAAGTTTCTAACACGTCGATCGCCACGTCGCCCCGTAACTTTGAAATTTAAATGTCAAAGAAAATGAATTCGAATGAAACATTTGAATTTGGACGAAGTTACAAACACAAGTACCACAATAAATGTTCGATCATGCAGTTTCTAACGATCTATAAACATGGTTTAATCGCAAGTTTAATCACAGTAGAAATGTTCGCGAGTATCGGTCGGGCAGTCAACGTGTTAAAAGTAAACGCGCTTATTTGTTAGACGCGATAGACGGAAAGAAAAAGACCAACGTCAAACATAATCGCAAGAAGGCGATTTGTATGAGAAGATCGGGATGCATTTTCGTTCGTGCGGAAAAATCCGCGAGCGGAAAAGGAGCAGGCAAGAAAGTTCCTCATTGTCCGGTTGCGTAGAAGACAATTGCGATGCCGACCAATTAAGCCACGGCCCACGCTTCATTTTTCCTTCCATTCAACTCGAGTCTCTTCCGCATCGATAGCATCTCGGTTGCGCTTCGATTCTTTTTTTTTTTTTTTTCTTTTGAGCATTGTGTCCCAAGCGACAGCCGACTTCACTCTGCGAACACGTATTTTCTGTACTGGAAGCTACTTCTTCCGCATATAGTTATATTCGTATATAACTATTGCGCCATTACGTTATTCTCGTAAAATATTTCAGGCTTTCACGACCCGGTTCATGGTTGATACCAACCGAGACTTCCGGGTGCGAGCCGTGTTCTTTGGGTAGGATACTCCGACGTTTTGCTAGACGTTCGCAGCTAGCTTATTCGTGTTATTCAAGAGCGATACTTTTTCTTTTGAATGCTAAGTGAAAAACTGATAGCTGATTGGCTCGTTGAAAAAAATACAATTTTCCACTTGAAATACATGGGAACAAATTTGTTTCCGCTGTATTTCACTGTTGACAGCAAATTTTTTATTTTAATTCTTTTATTAGCTTGTTCTCACACGCACGCTTGTCCGTCCGATTTACTTATTGATTAATTCACGAATTGCAACTGATGATCGCAACTTTTAATGTAGAAAGATATGCATTTTTTGTATTAATACCATGGCGTTTCTTTAATATTATAGAGAGTGAATGAATGCCGAACGGATGAAAAGTACCAAACCGTTATCCTTTCCTCGTAAAACCATGTTCATAAATCGATGTACGATACACCTAAACTTTCACATACCTGGAATTTGCGTATCGAGAGAGTCTGCTCAAGATTATCGGAGAATTTGTTTAAATAGAATTACGTCTACATAGCAACGTTCATTTTCATTGTCGTTCTTCTGGAGGTACGAGTTATTGGATTACATCTTTATTTAAATAAAGTTTACCAATAAAATTAAGTTATTCAAAAATAACGAGTTGAACAGGTTCGTTAACACCATTTTCTGACTTCTCTTAACTTGCGCTATTTTCTAGAAGTATCATTTGGTAATTTGACTTACCACATTGCTTGCACCGATACTGGCTTGAAGATGTGCTGTCGACCGCAAACACTGACGCTGAAACCTCTGCAACGAAAAAAGGGATCAAGAATTAGAAGCTGGCTTATCTGGAACCTCTGAATTCCAAGTTAGCTAAAATTACTTTTCTACTTTGATCGCGTTAACATAATCATAGTAACATAATTTCATTACGAATCGAGCATAACGATGGTTAAGATTTGAGAAAAATATATTTGTAAAATTTCCTTATAAACTACATTCTATAGGAAAGATGCATTGTTCTTTAGAACCTTCATTATTCCTTAATAATAATAACAATAATAATAATGATAACCAATATTTCCGAAAAATAATTAACCTATACTTTCCATCGGAACGTAAGGAGTAGCAATTAAACATTTTATTTGAATCGAATTAAAATATCAAAAGTAACAGGGAAATTATAAACTATAAAGTAATTATAAAGATTTCAACGTGTAGCTGCAGTATCGGTACAAAGAATTTGGTGGTGCTATCTAGCGCCGAGAACGAGGACTGTTTTGCCGCAAACTTGGACGTTTTATCGCGGAGAATGTAGACCATAGGGTTAAAGTTAGTTTCGCGATTTCACCGTTCAAAGCGGGAATCGTTGTCACACGACCGAGCAAACTCCCGGCTTAGAATTGCAACGGTAACGCAACTCCCCGCTTACAGGGCGTTACGACACATACTGCACATCTGGTATAACCGTTAATTACGCATTATGTAAAAGCTCGATTCGCGTAGAACCGCTGACCAAAAGGAACGACGAGTGTCACGAGTTACCCAGAAGCGCAAATTCGATTCTCGTTTCCACAAAAATCCATTACGATACCGCGAGACAGCTTTCTCAGGGAACAAACAGTGTGTACGTCCAATAAGAGCGCGCGCACTGTAACTTCCAAATGATTCGATATAATTAAATCAAATAACTTGCGATTATTTTTAAAGATGATAGAAAAAAAATTAAATCCATAAAAAATTACGTAATTAAATAAAAATACATAAACTAAAAATAAAAATTCCAGATTCATTGAAATTTGTATAAGTATTTAAATTAAAATTCCCTGACATTAAAAACATAATTAATCGAATTCTATATCTAATAGTTAATAATATTGAAAAAAAATAAATAAATAAATAAATAAATAAATATAAAATTTAAGTTACAATTTATGTTTACTCTGTGGAAATGATAATTTAAACGCTAACTGATCGATTGTTTTCAAACTTACTTTATCCGAATGCCTCGAATATTAACTAAAAAAATTGGAATGCTATCATTGTTTAAAAGCTGCATAGAATATAGTAAAACTTGACATTTATATTCTCCACGAAAGAAACTTTTGGGACAACCTAATATGAGTGGCCAAAGTCGGTCTTAGCTCGGACTCCTTAGAGACCACTTTTCATTAATAAAAGTTTTTTTTATAAATCTTACGTTGTTTTCGCTAAACCATCTTCCAACCCTTTTTCTAGCGCGTTTTAGTGTTAAGATCATTAGCTCTGCCATTGCAACCATAATGTCGAACCTGGCCTATTTTTTGGGGACCTGGAGTGACCTTACCCCCTAAAACTGCTCCAATTTGCGTCAACTGCGTTCATGCCATGGCATGACCCGACTCGATGGCTTCGCAGCTACTGGCACGACCTTCAAACGAGACCTTGGTTGCTCACCTGTCAAGTATCTTGTTCTAACGTGGCGCACAGCAACGCGCTCCATTTCCCTACGCCCGTATGCCCGAGTAAAAGAGAGTGGCGCCGACCTTCGCGTTCACCTTTCCGCGGTAACCGGTGCGTTTCTCGGTCTGCGACTCAATGTACCGTTTCGAGCCGCGTTTTATTCACCTAATTGCCGGATTCGGCTGGGTCGCGTGTTTTGCCAATGAGTCGACGCGAACGAAAGGCTACCTTGTCCGCTTCGCGGGATGGGAAAACTCTGTTACGCATGGAGAGATAGAATTAATTGCGGACCGAGACCCGAGCGATCTGTCCAGTTTCGTTTTTATTCCGCGCGGAATAGGGTAGCATTGGCTCGCGGAGAAAGTGCGGAACTGGCTGGAATTTAAATCAGTCGAATATATATGTCGGGAATCGAACGTGAAATCGCACGGTTAAATGAGAATCGGAACTTACAAGTTGCAACCGCGTTGATTATCGAGCAAATCAAAGGCTGCCTCGGTTTTCCTGCCTGTAGTAATAAAACTGTTCGAACTTTTGTAACTCGAGTTTACGATACGGTCGCCTGGTAAAGCGTTAATTTGAGACCGCAGCTGCTGGAAATGTCGATGTTCCGGACGCCTAATTGTGCGAGGGATCAAGGGCCCCGGCGCGATAAAAATGAATACAAGTGTGCTCGTTGATTTAAATAAAATTAAGGCGAACGGAAACCATCGAGATGATTATAACTATTGCGATAGTAGTTCCGAACGGAGCGTCATGGCGCGTGGAAGCAACTAAATTCTTATTGCACCAAAGGTCCGAAGACCACTGAACCATGTTCCGTCGCTCTCCTTGTTGGGTGTTTTCTTGCCGACGAGGTCTAAAGATCGATTCAGACTATACGACACGGACCGCGTCACGTTCCGGTAACGACACGTACCGGCACCGACACGACAAAACATTCAAATACGCGTTTTAATGGAACTATTCACACTTAACAGACACCGACCCGAACGTTCCGTCAACGGGAATAGTGTGAATAGTTCCCCATTAAAACGCGTGTTTTAATGTTTTGTCGTGTCGTTGCCGGTTCGTGTCGTATAGTCTGAATCGACCTTAACGCGACAACGTCAGGAAATTTACGCGTGACGAGTAGTATTACAAATGAGATATCTCGAAGCACAAGTTTCGAAAAAAAAAAAAAAAAAAAAAAATTGAAAACTAACAACGTACCCATCGCCGTCGAGAGTAATGGCAGTGTCGGCCAAAACTCGAAGTACGAGACCAACGGTCGCCCTGTCGTGACAATCGATACCAAGGAGGCAACTTTCCTCGGCATCTTGTCTCCCCGTGCAGGACACGACGACCAAATATCGTGTCCTTCCTTGGTGCACCGATTCGAGTTTCACTGCCTGAAATCAGAATACAGAATTTGTTGTTACGGATCCGATTGGTTAACATTTCTGTTTAGGAATAATAAGTGATGTATCGGTGTCGTCGTTTTTACAGTAGAAGGGTCCATCGAAATTTACGCAGTTATGAATATTTACCAAATTATGAGGAAGAGCTCCCTGAACTCGATCTGCGTTCCGTTAGACTTTGCACTTCTATCTAGGAATTTTATTTCTGCGTACTAGTTATTGGGTTTGTTCGGAAAGTCCATGTCGATTTTTGGTAGGTGGTACAGGTCTGAATATATCGAAGTGGTTGGAAACAAATAACATGTATACATCCCTTAAAAAGTGGAAAGGTTGTGGAATAAAATAGCACCTACGTAATTCGATAAATATATATTAAAATTCAAACGTGTTTTTGAATTTTTCTTAGAAATTGCCACGAACATTCCGGACAATATATAAGTCCTACATAAAAATTGACCCTATTATGATACCTGAAAAAAGAGAATAATAATTACGATCGACATAAACGTTCTAAACCTTTCTAATACCTTTCGTACAAAATTGAACAGTGTTTTACAGAACAGAAGCAAGTGTCCGGATCATTGGCTGATATGCGTGTGACGAGCTTAAAACGCTACACTCAAACTCAATGAAGAGTAACAAGGAAACGGGGGAGAAAACTGCAATAAAGACGTCGCGAAATTCTGATCCCGATCGTCTACACTTGACCGGAGAGATCGCTATCGTCAAGTCGTTTCGAGAGACGAAACAGAAGTTTCTTCGGGGTTAATGACACCGCAACGAACCGTAGTTGCACACCCGTAACGTTCATGCCGTTTCCGTTAACGAATGTTTCCTTGTTTTACAGAGATCGCTAATAAACGCCTATTACGAAGGCGTTACATAATAAATACACCTAAACCCCCATTAACGCGGTACTCTTTTTTTATTTACGCGATTTCGATACAAGACGCGGAATATGCGAATAAGAATCGTACCAGAAAAAACGAAATAAAAATGTATTACGTGCCAAAGATCGAATCAGAAATATTTTAATTGCCTCGGTATGTTCCTCGCGAATGGATACACCTTCCATTTTTCGAGTTTCGCAGCTTCGATAATTTACCTAAACAGCGTGAATCACGAACGGGTTTCTGAACTCGCTTAGGTCATCTCGTCGACGATACGCGATGCATGAAAGTGGAAAAAAAATGTTCCGGAGTAAAGTACTAGATCGTTTTGTTAATTAACCAGTTACGCTACCCCATTAGGGTATACTTTTTGTCGTAACCGCATAAATTTCGCGGTCTGCAAGACTCACGGTAACGTACTGTATTTTATTCCTTTTCCCGGGTTGCCAAGATTCTTCGATAAGAAAGAAAAACATTCATAGAAAGTAATGGTATTTTATCCGGCACCGGATGCGTGGATAAAGATGGATATACGGATATTATATCAATCATGTACGTATATATTTGTATATATTGTATCATAACTTTCCCTATAAAATAATTGGTCCTCATTTTCTTGACGGACCAATTAACACGTTGATCGCCATGTCACCCACATGTAGGTGACAGTGCTTTCCACTGAAGAACTAACGAAATTAATTCCGAATGTCGAGCATAAAACGATAATGAATTTAAATCAAATTCATGAATGTTGATGAAATTACAAGAATAAATACGACGATGAATGTTTGATTATGCAGTCTCCGATAGTATAAATAACATTTAATTTTAGTAGAAACTTTAAAGAATATTTGTCTGGCAGTCAACGTGTTAAATAGTCGCAAGTATGCACAGATTTTAACAGAGAAATGTTGCTACTCTTGTAAGAAGTCATTATAACAAAGTTAAAGTATGCTCTCTAAGCCAAAGAAAAACAACCATTTTTTTTCCTGTTATTAGAGACAGGTTTATCGCTAAGCATTGTCGAGGAAAAATTCATACAAGTCTGAATTCGCTCAGGAAGTCAGTAGAGGATGCAATTTATGCTTTTCTTTGCACATTGCCTAGCGCTGACTCTACGATGGATATCTAAAACCAGTTAGACGATTGCGTTTCTCCTCGCGTTTTATCCAACTATTACTCGCATAATTGTATGACATACAACGACCCAGTTCGCTATCGCGTACACTCACGAAACGCAAGCTCTCAGTCTTGGGTGATATACCCAGCACGTGTCTACGTTGCGATACACGATACAAGATTGCGAGAGACTTGTGCGAGCGAAACTTTACAGTTCGTCGATCAGTAACGCCCCGATAAAACCGTTAAATAATTAAGTCCACGTCACGAATCAACAAGAACGGCCGAGATACAAATTTTAACGGCTTGGCTTCGGGCCGATTTCGCGTCTTTACTTTCGATTGCGTTACGTTGGGAGAAACTGTTACAACATTGCCGACGATTGACGCTTTGACTGTCGCGCTAACTTCTGCGAAAATTTGTAGAATTTCGTTTGAAAACAATTGAAGATCGCATAATCTAGGATTTGTCAGTGTATTTATCGTTACAACCTCGTTAGAATTCAGGGATCTTATTTATTTTCGTTACCACCTCATCTTCGGAATAAGTTTTTTAAATTCCTAGTGAAGCGTCCTGTCACCCATACATGGGTGACGTGACGGTCAACGTGTTAACCCTTTAACGAGTGAGCATTCGAAAGTGAGTTATTAAAGTTAATAAGTTATTTAATATGATGCGATTCCGGGTTGTATATTTTGCAACGGGGTGGCTTTGAAGACAAATGGTTAGGTCTCGGTTGAAACTAAAGATATTACTACTGATGAGTGACTACTCTTTACAAGGGACATGAACCCTACGTGTTTAGAGAACGTGAACCATTCGAAAACCGTTCGAGACCTATTCTAGTACGAGGTAGTTATTCGAAACGGAACGAAACGGTTTGGCGAGCGATAAAATCTCCAGACTTTCCTCCTGTACTCAGACGGCACTCAAAACCGTCGACTAAAAACCTCGTCGCCTCGTGTACGAATATCTTCAGTACCTCTTCGGCCGTACGGCCTTGAAGAGGGCGAGTCAAGATTATCGCAAGACGAGTTACCCAAGGTCGCGTTTGCCAGCTACTCCGACTTTTTCCATGTTCCTCGAGTCAGTGGCGTCACTAGGGAGATGCGAAACCGTACCTGCTGAAAGAGAGGGTGACACTATGCAGGAATGATTGTCTATAAAAACTACCGTCAAGTGTTTCAGCATAAAAGATGCAGTAGTTCACAAAAGAAGACGAAACAATGGATTTCTTTTGGTAATAACCGATCAATTGTTTAACTATTTACTGGAGAAATTCTTTATTCCATTCTAAAGAGTAAAAGTTTAAGACTGTATATAAAATATAAGTTTAAAAATATATACAATCTTGTGGTTCGGTACAATATTATGTCTACAATCCATTATTTTTACCTGTTCATATTTTACTTTCATACACGGTAATGTTGCTGATAAGTGTTTCGTCATTCACTTTGTTAAAATTTTGTTGAAAAGAATACAATAGACGTTCTGTCGGTATAAATCACTACTCGATTAAATTATATTTCCTTGTGCTCGTCTTAAAGACCATCGATTAGAATGAACGAAATAAAGAGTATTAAGCGACGCGTTCTTTTATGTCGGAAAAGTAAGGCGTACCTAACATTATTTCAGTCGGTGTAGGACAATGTACAGAGTGGAAGAGTCTTCGACAGCGCTCCTCGAGTCACCTGCAGATGAAGGTGCGGCACAAGGATATCAGACTTTCTCCAAAGAAGCTTACCGTGTGGAAAATCGAATGACCCGAGAAGAGTAAGTCGAACAGAGAGTCAAATACGTCCCGAAATTGACAACCAGGAAAATTGACACCAAGAAAAGCCAACAAACAAAGCCGACAATCCTTCGGCTGCTAGGTATATTTGAAAAGAATATAACGTTACAGCAAATACCTATAGAATTCATCTGCTACATCTTCTTGCGTTTACTCTAATTTTCTCCTATAGATCCCGTAAAAAGATTCCTGCGCGTCGAAAGGAATACTTCGCGCCTGTGAGGCAATCGAAACTAATATCTATTTAGCGAACGCAAACGGCGCGTACTCGTAGTCGTGAGCAACGCGAACGATCCCTTCTTTTCTCTGGCTATCTTGAGTCACGGGGATCCCACGAAGAGATCGCGAAAAGCCACCGTGAAAGTGTTCGCGAACAACGACACGCGCGCGCCGTGTGTGTCTCGTCGGTGCTACGTCGTGAAACGAAAGCGAATCCTCGAGAAACGCGAAGGAAAAGGGGACTAGCGAACCAAAAGGTTCCTCGAACAGTCTCTCGCCCGTCTCTACCGTTTCCCTTTCTACTTGGATCGGTAATAAATTCACACAATCGCTTCGGTGCCTGGTGCAACTGAATCCTACGCGCAACGATACAGCCGCGCGGTGATCGAAACCTCGCGAGTATCGGCGATACGTGTCCGTATAGAGTCCACGTTCTTCTCCGGTGAACCCGTAGTAATTTCACTGCGAATACCGTGATCGCGTTTCGACGTTTCTAGGCTGCAGCCTACGGCACGAAAGTTCTCGAATGGGTACATATGAAATTCGAAACAAGAGAGATGCGGTGCCGGACAGATGTATCGGCAAAGGATGGTTGTATGATCTGTATGTATACAACTTAAACTAGCTGTATCTTACGCGTGTACTTAGGTTTCGCAAGTCGTGCGCGATTTGTGCAACTTGGGCCCGATTTGCCGAACCGTGGAATGCCTCGAAGGCTGGGCGATCTTGTTTACGTTTTGGGTTAGAGCTGTTGGAATGTAAATCGTAGGTTAACCAGGCTTGCGCAGCCTTCGAGCCACTCGCTTTTGGTCTGATCGTCGTATATACATATACTAGGGGCTAGGCTCGTAGTTGTAGGTTAAGGGGTTAATCGCAATTTTGGATAGAAAATAATGAGTTATTCAAATAGCGAACCTGTAATAGGTACGATAACACGAAGAACGAAGATAGTCACGTCGTGTAATTTTTCT